TTCATTTCAATTAAATTTGCGTTGGTACTACAATTCAATGAAATCTTTAAGATTTGTTACACATTTCTATGTTCTCAGGAGAAGACTCACTTTCATTCTCGGACATTCATATAATAAATACTTATTTCGTTTTAATTCACAATACACAGAAAAAATATCTACCAATATCAATTTGGTGACGAAAATACACCAAATTGATATCAGAATTTTTGGGTTTCAAATTTTGTTTCCGTCATTCGTTTTTCATCTCGACAGAGGTTTCTTTTTTGATAGACTGAACAAAAATATTTATTCCTGAAAATCTTACGAATCTAAAATGAGATCTCGCCTGACATGTCCATCTCAACAACATTTAACACTTCTACTAAGGTCTACCATTACGGTTTATCTTTTTTTTTTACATTTTTCTGCGTTTTTTCTGCATTTTTGGTTTTCTGCGTTTTAGTGTTCCTGCGTTTTTATTTTCTATGTTCCGCTACCTATTCTTCAGTAGTAACTATTAAGATATCATGATATTTTATTAATACTCAGACATCTATAAGGAGAACTTAACACTTGGTTACGCTTAACTCATAGAATCCATGATGCAAGTGAATTTAGAACTAACACTACCAGTATCGTAACGATCTAACTCTTTTTTTCACTGCCACAAGTTAATCAAACATTAAACGGAATTCAATGTTTGACTCCATTTATTTATTGACTGTTACCATCTTCTGCACATAAATGGAGAGGCGTCATGACATCTGGTATACGTGCAATAACATTTACACTTTGATCGATAAGAATTTTAAGACATAAAAATAATAACACACACGAAAACTTCATTTTTTTCACTTTATAGAATTACAAATACACGCATGAAATTAATGTATTCTTAAACTATGAAAGACTGAACGCGACTAACAGCGTACCAATCGTCTATAAACGATAGTTTATTGTATATTTTAATATGTAAGTTTGAAATTCATCTAATTATTTCGCCTCTAATGAAAACTTTTTATTAATTCGGACAAAACGCTTTACGTAAAAACCAATTCTAAAAAACAAATTCACGATAGTTCGATGTGATTTAAAAAAAATAAAGTTGGACGTTTTTCAGCTGTTGATTTAAAACAAATGTGGCCCGTATAACTTGGTGTTCCTTTTTAAGTCATTTATATATGTATATATTGTTATCATACGTTAAATAGCATACATAGATGGCAAAACTCAAAATAATCAGAGCAAAATGTCATTTTACCGGAAACAATGTCAAAAATGTCCATACATGTCTAACAATAGTAACTGGGCAACACATTTCAAAGTAGTGTAAAATCATGAAAATGTTCGGGCCAGTGAGTTTATCAATTGATAAAATTCATAGTTTAGTTTAGAAAATGTTATGTACATTTGGTATTGATGTTTATGTGGCTGGAAAGTTTATTTGATTAATAATTTGAATTTCAAAGCCTTATTATAAAAAGATCTCAGCCAGTAGAAATATTTAAAATGATAAGCTAGTCATTTTTTGCCAGATGGCCCTATCCATTGAAAGAATTTATCGTTGAGAAGTATTATGTTCTTATTTGGACTACAATTTATGTTACTTGACTAAAATATTGTTGTAACGCTTAAGTGCTGTTTTTTTATATTTAAATTTGAATGAAACAAAAAACGATGACTCGAATAAATATATAAACAAATGATATAAAACACCGTTAAGTTTGAGTCAACTAATAACAGAATTTTTTTATTTCTTATAAACTCGTATGAATTTCAACCAGTGTACTGGACAACTACAGTAACATGACTGTCGACACAAAAACCTTTCTCTTATAAAAATGTAGCCAAACACTTACACAATTAACGATTACTAAAAATAATAAAACGATGTAAACAGAAAAAAATTGTTTGTATATGTAACGACGAGAATCTCGTCACGAGATAAGGTTACTTGCCAGTGTCACCGATGATAGAAAACTAAATGCAATAGAGAGCATGTATATACAGAGAGATTCGACTGATTTGTTGTCGTCTTTTTTCAATAATTGCTCTAGTAACATATATCCCAAATGTATTTGCACTAATTTCAGGAGTTTATTGCGCTAGATAAACAAAATCAAAAATGTCAACCAATGCACATAAGAGACTTAACGGGACTCCTACTTCACTGTCAAACACAATTTGCACAGAAATTTCCATTGGCGATGACGTACAAATTTGATTTACGAAAAAGTGTCTAAAATTGTTTTGGACAGCTAAGTTCAAAACAAATTCTGCATGTGTCTAAAGATGAACCCATCTGCCTTCGAAGCACATATCGAACCATGAATGAAGTGCAAGTGGTTTCTTTTGCATTGTTAATGTTAGGGCACTACACATAGATTCTGACGTCCAGAGTTTAAGGAGGGGGTATTTTCAAAAAAAAAAATCGAGAAATATGGAGGGTAATTTCAAAATTGTTCGAAAAATCCAATCTCTGAAAAACAACAGAGGAATAGCACTTTAGCTTAAGTTTTTATATTCAAGTTGAATAATTCAATGCATAAAAGTTGATATGTAACATTCGATTCAATTTGAAAGTTGCTGATTTGACAATTAATCAAGCAAAAATATGATCAAAAATCAAGGGGGTAATTGGTAATTCTTTAAAAATCAAGGGGGGTAATTTTTGAGACGCTTTTCAGGGGGTAATATGGGCCCTATGGTCCCACGTCAGAATCTATGCACTACTATATAAGGAACCGAACTTTGATAAAGGGGTGTTTGTATGGTAGGATCTTCTTTGGAAGATGTTTTAGAGCCATTATTCGAAAATTTTGTGCTGAAATGTAAGGTTAAACTTACATTACTTGCTCTATTATCAACCAAATATTGTTGAATACGTTGAGAACTATCTGATAAAAGACCAAATTGTGCTTTGCAAGCAGAAAAAACCACACACAGAAAAAAATAAATCGGTAAATATTTACTGACTGCGTTAAATTCCATAGGCGAATATTGTGTTGATTTTCAGTACAAAATGCAACAAACATTTCTCTTGTATTTTACCACAGCTAACGAAAATTTTACCACACGCTATAAACTTCAAATCATAAACAAACCACAATTCATTTTGCTTTATTTTTATTAATCTCATATTTTTATGGTTTTTATTTCTTTTAAATAAAAAAAAATATATTTTTTATTTTAAAAATAATGAAACGTCAAATCAAAATAAAAATAGGAAAATGTCTTGTTCAGGATTTAATTTTTCCACCTTTTTTTGTGGATTGAATAATATTTTATGTGACATTTTAACTATTAATACAGTACAAGATATAAGCCACAGTGAAAGTGAACAAGTTACAAGCAATTAGTGAGCATGTATGTTATAGGCGAAGGTCCAAAATACTTGAAACGTGAAACAATTGATTGGATGGATTGAGAAGAAGTTGAAAGAAATCGACAAATCGGTTGTCTAGAGCATGATTTTGAAGGTTCGACGCATACTGAGAAAAATCGAAGACAGTAGCCTGTTCAGTGTAAAATGAATATGCCATTGTTGTTCAAATGGCGAACGTCTGAATTTAGTGCAAATACATTTGCGACATATGTTATGCATGTTGCTTCAATTTAAATGTGTATACCTTTGGCTTATGATAGTATATAACACTTCTCTCAATTTTCGGTATTCTTCATATTATTTTCTTCAATTCTTCAATATTACGTACTATATTACCAAGTGTACCAATCCGATCCATTTTCTCTAGAAAAAAAAAACAAGAAGACGAATAGAAATAATAATTTTTAATAATTTACATTGAATGAATATAAGAAATATGTTATTGGAGTAACATCTTAAAATGAACGCAATCAAATATGTGTATGAGAGATTGATGTGTGTATGGCCTCAATTTTCCGGTAGACTAACAAAAAAAAACAAAAGGAACTTTTTTTCATCACCGTCTGCTGATAAATTAAAACAAAATTCTTGACCCTAGGGTTTAAAATGAAAAACAAAAAAAGGGTTTTATTTTTTACATTTTATTTCTTCATTTAATTTATTTATTTCGTTTCTGACTACATGTTCATTCGACGTAATCTAATCGTATAATTATCAGTATTGTTTTTTTTAAATATATGCTTTGTTCCAATGACCGTTTAATAGAAAATACATGTTCATTATAATACAAATCATTCAAATTGAAGACAAACTAAACTCTTCGTAAATGTTAACTTTTCTTTATAATAACGAGGTGAGTTGTGATTGAGTTGTTTTTAGTTTCTCGGCTCGAACTCGGTCATCCGTCGATACTCGTAATAAGAGTTCAACCGAAAAAATATATATAATATGTTATTCACTTTATTTATTAGGCATTGCAAATGTTAGGCGTGTATCTCTTTCTTTATATATTATTCACTCTGCATAAATATACAAAATCTATGTGTATTTTTTATTTTACATCATACGTTTTTTTTTGCTTTTTTCCTCACATTTTATTAAAAGACTAGTTAATTCGGCCATTGGAGCTCTATACTTTGCATTTTCTCTTGTATTCTTTTCTCTATGAATATTGTTAAATTAGTTTGTTTTTTTTTTTCTAATAAATTTAAGTAATTATATATTAAAATTAAGCGCTGATTCATTTTAATATATATTTTCCGTAAAAAAATTGTTATTTTATTTTCACTTAATAAAAATTGCGTTTTGTTGCTTTGGCAGTTTTATTTTTATATCATCATCGTTCGTTGTTATTTCATTTTTTTCTTTTATTCTTTCAGTTTATTATTATTGTTGTCTTCGTTCGACTTTATGGATCTATTTTCGTCGCACTGGATTCGTTTAAATGCTTTAAGCAATTTTTCATTCATTTTTACGCGTATCTTCTTCGAATGTTATAGCTACTATAAACAATCTATTTAAATAATTTATACATGTTTTTGTCTTCATTATTTTTTTTTTTTTTTTTGATTTTCTCTCATTCATATTTGATCCACTAACAGTTTGTTTCTATTTTTATTATTGTCATTATTTTGATGGGAGAATTTGTTATCTACTTCTGTTTATTCTATGAGAGATAGTCGGGTGTTGGTTCAGATATTGCATCTGGATTGGTAAACAGTGGATTTGGGAATTCTGGTGGATGTGGTAGCGGTCCGGTTGCTTTTGGTCGTCTTCTGTACGCCATCAACCAACATGATACAGCCACTGCAACAGCTACCAAAGCCAATAATGCTGTTATTACTAAGGCTATGATCAAACCAATCATTGATACGCAAATATCTTCCACTCGTTGTGCAGCCGGATGAACTGAAAACATGTATGGGTTATATGAGTGTGTGAGCGAATTTCAGAATAAAACAAAACGATGAAAAACGGAAAATTCATTGAAACTTACTTTCACTGCCATCCGCAGAGAATCGTTCGTCTTTCTTTTCGAATGTGAGAATAGCGTTGGAGGATATGGTAATTTCTTCACGCAATTGTCCTTCGATGCCATCATCTTTTGGTAACGACACACCGGTACTTGAACTGTTTGCGTCATCGATTTCACGACGTCGTCGACGTTTTCCAAATGCATTATATCCACGACAATTGACCGGTTGACATCGACCAAAGCATACACGAATATTACATTGGAATCGAATATTATTGCTCGACGGGAATTTGAATGCATTGAAACTGGCCAACAAACTGTTCGTCTCCGCACTGTACTCCCATTCACCAAATATGCTTGGATCTGTAGCGCAACCATTTTCATCAGTGACCACATACTCATTTTCAATATTATCTTCCATTGTTTTGGCGATACAGCTTCGGGCGAAACCACCGTAAATAGCTGCGAAACATAAAATTCAATAAATTAGCATTTGTTTCAAGGGAGATTTCAAGTTTTGAACTTACTTTGTGGTTGTACATCAACTTGCAGCATCAAATTGTCACCGATTTCGGCTGAATTGATCTCTTGACCATTTTGTGTGACAATTCTCATCTGGCATACTGGTGGCGGTCCTGTATTTGCAATTGTACCAGCTGTCGTTAACATTTGAACATTGAATCCAAGTGTTACATTCTGTTCACCCGTTTGATAGACACATTTTACATGATACGCTTGTGCTTTGTAGGTTACCAGTTTCGGATGTTGTTGTATGACCAATACAAAGCTTGCAACACCATTTACATGAATTAAACCACAGCTACCAAAGTGTACTTTGAATATTTCGGTACGAGGCGTTGAACCCGATGGTAAATTAACGATGCGTCGACATTCTTCGTCTTTACTGTGACCTTTTACATAAATTACACCATTGAAATCTTGTTGCGGCAATACTAGCTCAGTTTTAACACCATCAGCCAAACAATTTACATTCATATCTACCGAAAATGTTACTTTTGTTTCTCGATCTGTGAAGTCTGAAAAGAATAGCGAAACAAGTGTTTTATTAATCAACTCATTTCTGGTTTTTAATTCTGTCAATAATGGAAACAAGTACTTACTGCATTGAATCTCTGGATTTCCAACAGTACCATGAATACATTGACAAATCGCAACATGATGCGTTGCATTACATAATGCATTTACACCGCATACTTTCTCCAAGCATGCATCAACGCAAACTTTTCTTTCAAAGTCACAGTATTGATGATCAGCGCACTCGTCATGATCGATACAGCCTGGTGTTCGTCGCTCTTGAACACATTCACCGAGTGGTGTAATAATGTATCCATGACCAGTTGGGCACACACATTTTCCACGTTCATCAATAATGAAACCGCGTTCAAGTGCACATACACAGCGTCCAGATTCGTCAACCTTAAATCCATCTTCTTCGCGACATGGTAGACAATCGCCATTGAAATTAACACCTGAACCAGGCGGGCATACACAATTTCCATTGATATCTGGTACAAATCCTTTGTCCACACGACATGGCAATGCTATTATGAACAAAAGGTGAAGAAAATTCATCAGATTCGTAAATGAGTACAAAAAAAAGTATAACTTACTTCGATCACATTGAACAGCTGCATTTCCTTGATAACCCTCCATACAGACGCACACCATCGTTCGAACTGGTGTGGTATCAAGTACTTTACATTCGGCATTAACTGTGAATCGATAAAAAAGTGAAAGATTTTAGTATAAAACCGTCAAAAAAAACGCCGTAATTAAACTAACCTCCACAAGGTTGTGTTGCATTGCATGGGTTAATGCATTGTTGATTAATACATGCATATTGTGGTGGACATTCGTTATCATCTCTGCACAATGGTTCATAAGCTCTGCATGTACCATCGGCTTCGGAAATTGTACCCGGTGGGCAACTGCATTGTGGCTTATGATTGTAAACTCGGCAAATTTCATTTCGTTCGCATATTTCTGTTCGTTCACATGGACTTTCGCATTTATTGTTAATGCATGCTTTCTCCGTTGGACATTCATTGTCACTTGTACAAGCAATAATATTGCATCCAATCTTTGGATTACCGCTAAAACCAGGTCTACATTCACAAACCGCATTATGATTGATACCATAACATTCGGCACCGTCTCTGCATGAGCTTCCATCGGCAGCACAAGCTGGAACACATTGTCGATTGATACATGCATGTGTTGTTGAGCACTCATCATCCGATCTGCATCCAATGTGAGTACATTGAATTTCTGGCTGTCCATCATACCCTTGTTCGCACGAACAAATCGGCTTATGATCTTTAACACGACATATTGCGTTCGGTGCACAAGCGCATGGATTCCGGCAAATATCATTGATACAAGCTCTATCTGATGGACAATCTGAATCCGAAACACAGCCACCAACCCGAACAATTGCATCAAGTGGTTTACATGTTCCATTGCCACTGCTTACATATCCTTCTGGGCATATGCAAATCATTGTTCTAACTGGTAACGATGGAACGACCTCACATTTCGATGGTTGGACGCATGGTTCGAGCGTTGTACAAGGATTAACACATTCATGATTGATACAGGCCAAACGCGATGAACAATCGCCATCAACGGTACATTCAACTTGCGGTTCTCGTTTACAATCAATGTACGGATGTCCAATGAATCCTTCACGACATTTGCATACTGGCATATGATTTTGTGGCGTACATTCGGCTTGCGGTGCACAGACATGATCGTAGACACAAGGATTAACACAAACGGCATTCTCGCAAGCTTTGTCACTAGGACAATCGCTGTTACTGCGACAACCAATTACGCGGCACACATCAAATGGATTGCCGCGGTAGCCGCTCAAACATCTACATTCGGCACGATTTCCGGCAACATAGCACTCGGCATTCAATCCACAAGGATTGTCAATGACACACGGATTGATACAGTTTCCATTGATACAAGCACGTCCCGAATCACATTCTGAATTACTTCGGCATCCAACTGCTCGGCACATAATATTTGGATTTCCTTCGAACCCTGGCAAACAACTACATGTTGCACGATGGTCTTTGACCAAGCAAGTTGCATGTGGACCTAAATAAAAAAGACACAACATTTTTTATGAACCACGTCAAGATGGAACCATTTTGAAGGTGAAAATTAAAAAAAAAATAATACTCACCACAATCGCATGGGCTACGACATTGTCGATTGATACATGATTCGTCATATGGACAATCAGAGTTTTGTTTACATCCTGGTGGTGTTTCGATGATAATGCGACGACATTCGCCATTCTCATCCGGTACAAATAGTTCGGGGCATTCACAAACCATCGTTCGAACCGGCGAGCTATCCAATACACTGCAACGAGCCGATTGTGCACATGGTGTCAATTCTCTACATGGTTCCACGCATTTCTCTCGAATACAAGCCAATTTACTTGGACAATCGTCATCATATCGACATTCGGGACCAAAATCAAGTTGAACTCGTTCACAGTACGAAAGTGGATTTCCATTTGGTAGATCTTCTGGACATTTACAATTGGCTGCATGATTTCGTACGAAGCAAATAGCATTTGGAGCACATGGTGAATCTTGTTCGCATGGATTTATACAGTGATTATTTAAGCAGGCACGATCTCCAGGACATTCAAAGTCAGAAGTACATTCGATTCGTTCGCATCGTTCGAATGGACTGCCCTTGAAACCAGACAAGCATCGGCATGCTGTTTGATGTTTCAGACCGAAGCATTCGGCATTCACAGCACAAGGATCGGATAGCACGCAAGGGTTGATACATTCATTGTTGTGACAAGTTTTATCATCTGAGCATTCATCATTTGACTGACATTCCAATTTGAAACAGCCATATTGTGGATTTCCTGAGTACCCTGGACGACATACACAAACTGGATGATGTTTTTCGACATGACATTCCGCATCAATGCCGCAATTACATGGACTGGTACATAATTCATTCACACACGATTCGGATAGAGTACATTCCGAATTTGATTTACAACCAACAGTTATTTCAGATGCTACAAGCAAAATAATGACAATTTTATGAGCCTTTCATCTCAAATTCATTGAAAATCAAATACTTACATGGTACACATTTAATCAAAGGACTTCCGGTGAATCCGCTCGGGCACTTGCAAATTGGTTGATGATTTTCTGCAAAACAGAAAGCGCCACGACCGCATGGACTTGGATTGTAGCATGGATTCACACAACGTTCATTTCTGCATGTACGATCGAACGGACAATCTTCGTCTGAATAACAATCGGCTGGCACAATTGCGTTTGGATATTTTTGTACTAAAATTTGTAAGGAAAAAATTTAATTTTACTTCAAAAAATTCTTCGAGTGAAGGCAAAATATTTTCGAAATGAATGAACAACTTACTCGGTGAGCATTCAATGTGTGGATTTCCGGTATAGCTTGATGGGCATAAGCATAGTCCACGATGCAATTTCGATTCACATTGTGCATTAATACCGCATCGATCAACGCTACAAGCGATAACACAAGTGCCTTGGACGCATTTATCCGAATCAGAGCATTCGTCATCGGATCGACATCCAACCTGTTCATATCGAATAGGTACGCATTGACCGCGAGCATTGGTGATTGTATCCGGTGGGCATCGGCACATAATTGCTCGAATGGGCATTATATCCAAAACTGTACACGTTTGTTCTGTATCGCATACATCTGAACGGGCACACGGATTTTCACATCGTTTATTCACACAAGTCAATGCTGGTGGACAATTTGAATCGCTTGTACATTGTGGCTCATCGAATTTACGTGAACATTCAACATATGGATTTCCAAGCAATCCGGCCAAGCATGTACAAACTGGTTGATGGTTTCGTCCTTCGCACCGAGCATTCTCCGCACATGAATCAATATCACAAACTTTGCGACACACACGATTCAATCGATCGCAAGCTTCATCATCTAAACAGTCTTCGTTGTATTGGCAAATACCTCGTACACATGATATCAATGGATTTCCTTGTGTGCCGGCTGGGCAAATGCAGTTGGCTTGATGATTTTGTGCCAAACATTCAGCACCGCGGCCACACTGTGTACCGCCATATGTGCATGGATTGAAACATTTCTCATTGTAGCATGCCTTATCGTATGGACAATCAGAATTGACCTTACACTCCGCTGAAAATGTCAAAGAAAGAGAGGAATTGTGTAAGTTTTTAAATATTTTAATAGAAATTTTTCGGTTTAAATATTTACGTTTGTAGCATTGAACTTGTGGATCGCCTGCCCATCCTGGTGGACAATGACAGGTTGGATGATGTTGAATCGTTCGACATTCGGCATTCTGACTACAAGGGTTGCGTTCAATACATGGATCTCTGCAAGCTTGATTAATGCATGCCTTTGATGATTGACACTCACTGTCACTGGTACATTGTGGTCTTTGCACTTCGCGGTCTTGGAAACAACCAACAAATGGATCACCAATGAGCCCGGCGGGGCACGTACAAACGGCACGATGATTTTCAACACGACATTCCGCTGTCTTATCACATGGGTTGCCATTTTTACATGGATTCACACAAACTCGATTCTGGCAGTTCTCCGATGGACCACATTCATTATTCGATACACATCCAGCATCTTGGAGCAGTTCTAAATTAATAATTTTCATAAGAAAAATATTAGCATTCATTTGAACCTTAGATATGCAAAAAAAAAAACACTAAAAACTAAAAAAAATATCTAATCTAAAGGATGGCGTTTTTGTGCTGTGCACGGCCTTAAACTAAAAATCGTTTTGTATATACAGTTTAATTGCAATAATTTACATTTGAATAATGAATATATGTACACAATAAAAAAAGGAATGAAAAAAAAAATTAAAAAAGTTCCCCTGTAAAATTCTTTGGAAAAATGATTTGTTATGATTTGATTTATGAGATGGTTTTTGCTAATAAAAGAACAATATTTGCATTTACCTTGTTTGCATCCAATATCAGCGTTACCAACGAAACCTGGTTCACATGTGCAAACCATTGTTCTTAATGGCAGTGAATCAACAACCGAGCAAACGGCATGAGCACCACATGGTCTTGTTTCAATGCATGGGTTCTTACAAACATTATCGAAACAAGCGAATTTCGATGGACAATCAGCGTCGACAGTACATTGTGGGGTATGTTGGACTTGAACCGGGCTACAATTTGTATAAGCATCACCAACATAACCAGGCAGACACTTACAAGTGGCAACATGGTTATCGACACGACATTGAGCGCCTGGTGCACAATTGCATGGATCTTGACAACGTTCATTCACGCATGCCAAATGGAATGGGCATTCATGATTAGTTGTACATTCTGGACGTTCGCAAGCAATCAATGGATTGCCACGGTATCCGTCTAAGCAATAGCATCGTGCATGATGACTATAATCGGAGCGACAAATTGCATTTCGACCGCATTGAATTTGATCACAAACTTCAATACAATTACGATTTACGCAAGCGTGTGTTGTTGGACAATCATTGTCAGCACGGCAACCGACTGAAAAAAGGAAACGATCAGCATCTTTTTGGTCTAATTTACATTTAAAAAAGAAAAACTTACTTTCATAACAAGCGATTTGTGCATTTCCAGTGAATCCTTCGTGACAAACGCACAATGGTCGATGTGCTTGCACATGACAAATGGCATTATCAGCGCAAACTCTTCCCTGAGCGCACGGATTTTTGCATTTTTCATTGATGCACGCTTTATCATTGCTGCACTCTGAGTCACTTTCACATTCTGGACGAATTGGTCGCGGTGGTTCTCGCGGTAAGTCACATTGTACATATGGTGACCCAACATAATTTGGCGGACACGAACAGACTGCTTGATGATTTACAGCACGACAAATTGCATTAATACCGCACGCATTTAAGCATGGATCACTACATTTCTGGTTGAAGCAGCTTCGATCCGTCGAACAATCATCATTTGTTATACATTCTGGATATGTACAAACAGCGGCATTATTTACCACACGACAGTAACCATTAACATTGCAAGGATTTGGTACACAAGGACTGACAGGTTCGTTCAACACTGGACGACATTCGACAAATGGATCGCCAAATGTTTGATCGGGACACGAACATATCGGACTGTGATTCACTGTTCTACACATTGCACCATAACCGCATACATCTGGGCATGGATCAACGCATTTATTGTTCACACAAGACTTTGTTCGACTGCAATCAGATGAAATAACACATTCTGGATGACATCCAGCACCTTTTGCATCGCCGAAATAGCCTGGAATACATTCACATACGGCAACATTTCCTTGATTACGGCAAACTGTATTCACCGAGCACGGTGTTGGATAGCATGGATCTTGTGGTAATGAGTCGCTTGGTGGTATTGGTCGAGCAACTGCTACACATTGTCTGAATGCATCGCCAGTTGTTCCCGTTGGACATGAACAAATTGGCACATGATTTGATACTGTACACATTGCATCGATGCCACAAATGTTAATACATGGGTCTTGACATTTGTTGCGTATACAAGCCTTGCTCATGGGGCAATCACTTGAGCCAGTACATTCTGGGCGACAACCTTCATATGGATTTCCATGATAGTCATTGACACATTCACAGATTGCATTGGCACCTTCAGTACGACAACGAGCATTGCTGCCACAAGGTGACGGATAACAGACGTCGCCTGAGGGTGGTGGTGATGGTATTGCTAAAAATGATTAAAAGTCAAATTATATTATTATTACTTTTTTTCTGAATGAATGTACGAAATGCCTTTTAAAACTTGTTTTACACAATTTCCTAACTTCTAATCTTAAACTTTGCTTGTGAATTTTCTTAAAAAACTGATTAAATATGCAGTCTTCACGCTTCTCAAAATTATCATCAGTCGAAAAACTTACTGTCAATATATAAAACTGGAACATGACAAGAAACAAATGGATCTCCTACCATACCGTCCACACATGTACACATTGCTGTATGAAGCAACACTGAACATTTTGCATTTTGACCACACGCATTTATGCATGGACTTATACAATTTTGATTAATACACGCCAAATTATTGCGACAATCATCGTTCGATTCGCATTGTGGCCGGCAATATGGTGGAATTCCTTCATAACCAGATAAACAAGCGCATTGCGCATTATTATTAACATTCTTGCAAATTGAATTTCGACCGCAAGGTTGTGCAGTGCATGGATTAACTGGTTCGTCTTTTTCGATTGGGGTTGGAACGGCTACAGGCGATGGTTGTGCTACAAGATTATGTATTTGCAAACGAAAATTGATAAAAGATTTGGAAAATTAGCAGAGATTCTCAGGGAGTGTTAATGTGAATGGAAAAACTAAGAAATTCACTGTTGACTTTTCAATTTTCGCAAATTAGTAGATCGTCATTACCTATGACAATTGGTGTACAACGAACGAATGGATCGCCAGTGTAATGTGGTAAACAATAACAGGCAGCTTTGTGATTAATCGCTCTGCATTCAGCATAAAACGGAGCACATGCCCCGGGACATGGATCAACGCACCGTTCATTAACACAAGCTTTTGTATTCAAACAATCTGAATTAATGGTACACTCTCTGCGACAAGCAGGCGGGGTACCATAAAAGCCGGGCAAACACGAACAGATCGCTTGATTATTTATATTTGTACATTGACTGTTTTGGCCACATGGAGATGGACTACAATGATCTTCATCATGTGCTATTAATGGTCCTAAAGATGTTTTTAAAATTTTGTATCAATTTGGTTTTTTTTTATATGAATAGCAATTTATTTTCAATTATTCTACTTCAAATACTTTTATTGAGTTCTATTCTCAAATGTCCATTCATATTCAGTGGGTTTTTGAGAATAAAACTCAATACAAGTGTATTGAAGTAGAAACATTGAAAAGAAATTGTATTTGAAAATACACGCAAAGAGAAAAGCTTTCATACTTTCGATCCTAGCACAAGCGATATATGCATTTCCTGTGAAACCCGGAGGGCAATCACACATTGGAATATGATTGTAAACAGAGCAAATAGCATCGCGACCGCACATATTCGGACATGGATCAACACACTTTCGTCGAATACAGGCTCGATTTCGTTCACATTCGGTATTTAAGAGACATTCAGGGTGGCATCCCGCAGCGTATGGATTGCCAATATAGTTGGAAATACAGGAACAAGCACCTTCATTACATTCACTATTCGCGCCACATGGACTTGGACGGCATTTATCTTTAACTTTTGGTACATCTTCTAAAAATGGTGCAATTTTTTTTGGTTCAGTCAATTCGATTACAGTGAATGAGAAAGGGAGTTAGTCGAATATTCTTGGAAAAAGTTATAGTCAAACGGGAGCATAGCAAAAAAAAAACGAAATTGTATTTTTACCGGCAATAACAATTGGTTCGCATTTGATGAATGCATCTCCTTCAAAGCCAGGCTTACAAGCGCAATTAGGAACATGATTTATTACATTACAGACGGAATTCAAACCGCAGCTGCCGGGACATGGATCAATACAACGCTCATTTGCACAAGCCTTAGTATTGCCACAGTCGGCGGTAATAACACATTCAGGATGGCAGAACGGTGCCGCACCATAATAACCAGGCAAACAATTGCATACATAAGATGTTCCAATTTCATTGCATTGTGCAAAGTTTCCGCATGGATTTGGAACACAAGGATTTATAATCTCATCTCTTGTTGGAGCTAAACGAATGAGGTTTTCAAAGATTTTTAGAATTGGAGTAATTAGAAAGAGTTAGTTTGGTATAGAAAATATAGAAATATTGAATGTCTTACGCGCAACAATTGGAATTTGATAGCAACGCACAAATGCATCACCACTGAAACCATCTTGACAAGTGCAGAATGGACTGTGATACATGACGGAACAAATGGCATTTTCACCACATACTCCAACACACGGCGATACACATTTTCGATTAATACAAGCTTTATTCAAGGGGCATTCGTTGGAGCCAGTGCATTCTGGACGACATGCTGGTGGATTGCCAACAAATTCAGGTAAACAAGAACAAATAGCAGCACCATTATTATCTCTGCATTGACTATTAGGGCCGCATGGGTTGCGGCGACACGCATTGACTGGTTCAACAACAGCAGTTGCTAAAGGAAAACGTATCCCATTTAATACATTTACTTTCATTCATTTTACACTTAAACTTACGTTCAGCATGCTGGATCATTGTACAATAGCGATAAGAATCGCCCGTGTATCCAACGAGACAAACACAATTTGCCAAATGATTTATTACGCGGCATTCAGCGTTCATTCCACAAACGCCGGGGCACGGGTTAACGCATTTGTTTCGAATACAAGCTCGATTTAATGCACAATCAGTGTCCAAAGAGCATTCAGGTTTGCAGCCATCGTAGGGGTTACCATAGTAATCGGGCAAACATTGGCATGAACCGACATCATTATGCTGATGGCAAATGGCATTTATGCCACATGGGCTTGGCACACAAGGGCTGACTGGTACATGTTGAACGGGAGTGTCTTTGATTGCACATTGAACAAACGGATCGCCAACATAACCGGGTAAGCATTCGCAAATTGCCGAATGGCTTACAACATGACATTCAGCATTGTGACCACAGACTCCAGCTGTGCAAGGATTTTTACAATGATTATTGATGCATGCCAAATAATTGGCACATTCTGAATTGGAAATACACTCTTCTCTACAGTTTGGTGGTTGGCCGATAAAATCAGGCAAACAATTGCAAGTGTAACTATCACCATTTGGATGACATTCAGCATTTCGGCCACAGGGTGAGCGTATGCAAGGATTTACATGCTCATCTTTCAGTGGTGGCTGTGACTCTTGCACAACTTAATGATTCAAAATAGATGAGATAGAGATTAAATTTTTACATTTCATATTATACACAACAGACTTAAATACTGATTAGATGTCAGAAAGATTGGCAACCGTTAGTAAAGTTAATTTGACATAGGCGTTGACGGGAATTTTCGAGGGAGAATGGAGGGTTGATGTATAATTATATTTTTATTTTAAAAAGGGGTGTTATTAGGAACCCTCGTCAATACCTATGTTAGTTTGATAAGGACTGAATTTGGATAATTTCAAAACGAAAGATTTTATTTTGCCGCATATAGATTTTCTTACCAATTGGGTAACAATGAGTAACAGGATTTCCAGTAAATCGAGGTAAACAAGAACAAATTGGATTATGATTAACGACTCTGCAGTCGGAATTAAAACCACACGCACCGATGCATGGCTCAATACATTTCTGATTTTGGCATGCACGATTGCTCAAACAATCGGAATTCGTCAAGCATTCAGGGCGACATGTTGGAGGGGCACCAAAATAACCTTGGAGACAAGAACAAACAGCTTGACCATTTACTTCTCTGCATTGAGCGAAAGTACCACAAGGAGTTGGATTGCAAGGATTGTATTCGACGGGTGGTGTATGTTCAACAATAACTGGTCTACATTGAATAAGCGCATTTCCTTCCATTCCCGTTGGGCACGTGCACATTGGCAGATGATTATAAACATTGCAAATTGCATTTGGTGCGCAAGTACCATCACATGGGTTGACACACTTCCTGCGAAGGCAGGCTTTGTCTCTCTCACAATCACTGTTAAGAACACATTCTGGGGAACAAAAAGTGTATGGATCGCCTTGCAAACCATAAAGGCACGTACACACTCCATCATTGCATAGTGCGTTTTGTGCACAAGGTGAAGGGTTACATTTATCTACTGGAATTACGTCGTACGCTATTTTTAAGTTTATCAAAGAAAAGATCAAAATGTGAATAAGACTAATTGGACACAAACTGACATTTTGTCACATAAGAGACTGTATAAAATGCAAAACTGTAGCGCATCTAGCGTCACTACGGACTTTTATTGACTAGTCAGTTGTTTGCAACCGAGCAAAAAACCTTTCACTAGTTGGCGGCAATGTTGTATAGATTACACTGAATTCCATCGTGGCGCTAGTTGTGTGACAGTTTAGGCATAATTTCTGTACGATAGAAAAGTAGTATATAAAAGGAAGTTACGTTTGGGTTGTATTGGAACTGGATAACAATTTTCAAATGCGTTTCCCGTGTATCCATCAAGACAAGAACAAACAGGAGCATGATTAATGACATCGCATCGAGCGTAAATGGCACATAAGCCAGGGCAGGGATTAACACAATGGTTTCGAATGCAAGCTTTGTTATTCGCACAGTCACTCGATAGTACACATTCATGATGGCAATTTGGAGGCGAACCGTAATACCCAGGCAAACAAGAGCACATGGGATAATCACCGATAGGCTCACATCGTGAGAATTGACCACATGGATTGCTTAGGCAAGGGTTCAAGTACTCAACAACAGGGGTATCTTCTCGAGCTAAAACATTATTTATAATATAATAAATTCCAAGAATTTTTCAGACAATCTTATAAATGCGAGCCTGAAACCTAAAACAAATTTTAAAAACTCTTTTCGGAAAAAGAGCATAAGAAATTATTGAGAGCAAAACGAGAATATAGAGAACTGAGAGTTAAAACAACACATAGAATACTGAGAGCAAAAGTAGCATATATCGATTTGCTGTTTTTACTCTCAATTCTGTATATTGTATTTTAACTCTCAATTTGTATTCGCCTCATTTTAGCACTGAAAATGTATATGTTTTTATTTGGCACCGATGAATATTATATTTGCTTTCGTCAAAAACATTTTATTTGGATTCGTATTGAACAAATGTAATAGAAGAATTTGTTTACAAAGCAACGAAAACAAATACTCAAATTTCACGTCGCCACTGTGATACGCTGTGTATACTGCGATTCCTATATTGCATTGACCAGCAGTTTACCGTTATTCGCTAACACACCGAAGATATACAAATGAATCACTTAGAATAAATCAACGTTAATAGATAAATGTCTTCAAATGCGTTACTGAAAAAAGTCATTCAGCAAAAGCGTTATATAATATATGGACGATGTCACGCTTTTGTTGGCGAACTTTTTTATATAACGCGTCACATACAGTTTTTGACACTATTGCTGACGTACTTTTTTCTATAACGCATTTGAAGACATTTATCTAGTAATGCTGATTTATTCTAGGCGATTCAAATATGCTGCACAGTAAGAAAATATCAGCCGACGCTATACGCAAAACCGACTGGTACGTGCGCTCATACGTTTTCACATCTTTTACATCTGGTGACCATACGATTTTTCGACTGATTCGTTACTCTTTGTGCGTATCTTCGCACAGTCGAAAAATCGTATGGTAATAGATGTAAAAGATGTAAAAACGTATGAGCGCACGTAGCAGTCGGTTTTGCGTATAGCATCGGCTGATATTTTCTTACTGTGTGGTCGTATTCGCACCGAATTTCATATTGTATCTGTAAAATTTTATTTTTTTATTGATCTGCAACGACAAAACTATTTGTCGATTTCTTAATTCAAATCATTGAATAACTGTGCTAAAAAGTTTGCGAATATAAAACTGAAAATATGCTTGAAGATGAAATGGAACTGGCTCCAGAGATCGAAAAAGGTTTACGTAGACCGCTTTTGTATAAAAAATATCGCAAAAGAATATTGTAAAGGCGCATACAACAAAAGGCAATACACAAATTGCCGAAAAAGTGTTCAAAATGCGAACAATTTGTGCGTGTTTGTGAAAGTACTGCACCAAAATTGATGTGCTCCAACCAAAATGGATTTTGAATTCGTACTATTTAAAATCAAACTGGAGTAAAAGACGCTGTTCCTTCGATCACAAATTAAAACGGCGAAAGTTAAAAGATGCCTCGTTATATCCATATCATTTTTGAGAGAGAGAATGTTGACAAACAATTCACTAAGTTAATCTCGTGTCATAT